AAAAAAAAAAAAAAAAGAGAAGAAGGAAAAGGCGCAAAAGGAAACAGGCGTAATTAACAGACGTCCGATTTTCGAAAGCCGAAATTTTCAAAAATTCGCGACACGGAACGATCGTGGACGCGTGCAACGATTTCGATGCAAATGCTGCATGCGACGCGGCGTGAATCCAGAATCGAGCCCTACAAGTGTCGCGGGGAAATTTCGTCACGAGGATGTCTCCTCCATCCTCTCGTCTTCTGCTCGATTCGAGGCAGACGCCGACATGCTTCGTGCGCTATTTTCGAACCGATGACTCCTCTTCGAAACGAAACAAAGTGGAAGCAAAACAAATATCGGCCAGTCTTATTTTTATTATCCGAGAAGAAAGATCAAGTTTTTGCCGTTCCCGATTAAAAAAGCAATACGAGAAAAATTCGTGCACGAAGCGTTGGGGAGGAGGGGGAGGGAAGAGGAAGGTGGATCGGAGGGTGAAAGTGGATGGGTGGAGAAGACACCTACGCGCGAGAATCGGTCGAAGGTAAACACAGGTTTAGAATAGAAGCGAGAGGAGAGGAAAGTTTGACCGATGTTGGGAGGAGGGAGGAGTTCTAAGTTGGATACGTGTTACCCTTGCCGTTTGCCTCCACTTTGGAAACATTAGCATGGATAGGCGGGGCAAATAAATAGCGCTGTCACTCGTCACGTGACGCGTGTCGTCGCCCGATTCCGTATATTCCGACTCTCATTGAGAATTTATACAAGTTAGGGAAGGTATCGATTCTGTTCAAGTGTAGTGGAAGATCGATTATTCCAGGTTTACCTAGCAATTAGCTCGAAATAATCGTCATTGTGTTTAAAAAGTGAAAAATAAAATGGACGTTCTCGATGCGAACGATTGGGGTCGAAGTGTTTCGTAATAATTGCGAGTTCATTCGTAATGGCAAAGATCCTTTCGAACGAATTCGATTTATTCTCCTTGCGCTTTGAGAATTTATAGAAAGTATCGATTCTGTTCAAGCACAGTGGAAAAATTCGATTATTCGAGGTTTAAATTCGAAATAATTGTATCGTATCGTATTTACGAGAAAGTGAAAAAATAAAATCGATGCGAACGATTGTGGTCGAAGTGTTTCGTAATAATTGCGAGTTGCATTCGCAAAGATCCATTTTCGAGCGAATCGACGTTGTACTATTTTAAAACGAGAGAGAAAAGTAGACGAGGAATGAGCAAAAGCGTGGTTTCGTTGCCTAATGTCCCTAAAGCAACGATGATCTCGTGGCGTCAACGAAGTAAGCCAATTGACCTCGTTTCTCGTTATCACGGGGAAGAATGAATGCTATCAGCGCGGTCTGTCTATGGCGACGAATCTAATTTCCTGCTCGCTTACTCCACACTTGCACCACTCGTATAAAGACACTTTGCATCGTCCCAACGTTTTCCAATAATAATATTCCCTCCTCTCCCTCCTTCTCTTCCCCCAAGGAAAGTTTCTTTCCCCGTCTTGACGCGTAAGATTAATTGGCAATAGTTTGTCGGTTATGTGGCCCATCGTTGTCGAGAAATCTGCCGGTCACTTTTATCCTAATTTCACCGGTAGCACAGTTTCCTTTTACGATAGTCGATAATAAAACTCGTGGTGATTGATGGTGGCATCTCTCTCTCTCTCGAGAGAGAGAGAGAGACGAGTCGGTTTCAACGAGTCGTTTCTGAACTCGGGGAAAAAAGTAACGAAAAAAAAAAAAAAAAAAAGAGAGGAAAAAATAAAAGTGATTAACGAAGCATTCCCTCTCTCGAGGAAAACAAAGTAAATCGCGAACGTGACTAAAAAGTCGATGGAAAAGATGCTGTTCGGTTAACTTCCGGCTCAGTCTGTTGGTTTATCGGACTTCGAGCCACGATCTCGTCGTCGTCCACGATATAACAAAGGCAGAGAGGAAAAGAGAATAGAGAGAGAGAGAGAGAGAAAGATGTAAAGGAAGATGTTGCGTATCCTCTTTATTCGAGATACCTAGCTGCAAGGGGAAATTCTATACTCCCTTTGTCGCACAACATTACACAAGGGCAAAGTTTGCATATTCACATTTTAAAAGCAAGTGCATCTTCGGTCAATACACCGTCAATGGTCACAGATAGTGCGAAATGTTTATCGATGCGTGTACATTCAACTCTGTATCTATGACACGGTTATCCGCGATATTTCAAGCGCGAGCAAACCGTCGAGAATCTCTCTCTCTCTCTCTCTCTCTTTCACGCGGTCACTATTTGTCGTCGCACCCGCGGGCGGATCCTCAACAGCATGTTGGATAGGTTGAAACCGCGATAAAGGAGAAACCTGGAAAGTGGTCGAGTGAAAAACCCGCGGAACGGTTTTCAACGCGAGTACAATGCGAGTTTCCTGCTAGATTACGTTAATCATTACGAAAAGCGGCGCGGCCCCTTTATCAGAGGCCGCTCTAGGATGCGGAAACGGATGCAGTTCCTTCTTCCTCCACGCTTCTCTAACTGTCGGCCTGGCCCACCGTACACCCGAGCCGAGATTAAAAGATGCCTTTCATCCTAGCCACCCACCTACAAAGAGCCCCTCTGTACGTTACGTACGTACATTGTGCTCTCTCTCTCTTTCTCTCTCTCTCTCCCCCCGAGCTCGTTAACCGCACCAATTTCCAAGAAACCCGTCACTTCGAATAATTAACGCGTCTCTCGCGTGGTTTATCGCCGTAACAATTATACAACCGACCCGCTCCTCGTTTAACCAATTATTTTCTTTTCCTCCTAAATTCCGCTAAACACGGAATCAACAATCGCGGCGAGAATTTGGTCAGTTTTTAAATTCCAATCTCTCGTGAGAAGAAACGGGGGGAGGGAGTGTTTGTCTCGAAATTAAACGCGATAGGATCCGCGCGATGGAACGAAAAACGCGCAAACAAACGACAAATCAAATCAAATCAAATCAAATCGGTATGGATATTTTTTTAAAACATCGAAATATCTTGGTCAATATCGCAATTTCGGGTATTTCGAAACGACGAAAGTATCGATTAAAATTGCATAAATCCATTCGCAGAGGTCATTAGCGATTTTTAAATTAAACTAGGTGCGAATTTATTATTGCGTTTATCATTGCACCGATTGTTTCGAAATTTAAATATTCTTCCAACGATCGAAAGTTTAACTTTCGATACTACCAACTTGATTCCTTTGATAAAAATTTATCAACGGTTATGGCCAGTTAAAGTCGCTCAGATCGGAACGAACAATCACAGGTTCGAGAGAATAGAATCCTTCGAGGTAGAATCGTTGGAAACAATGGAACGACTTGGTGGTAGAAATGCTTTGGTAGAAAAAAGGATCGGAGACCTTTCGTGTTCCGTGGCTCGTTCGAAACGACGAGAATCAAGGACAGAGCGAGGGAGGAGTGTACATTTCGTGGAAGCCGAGCTTCCACGACAATAGTTCGCTGGGCGTGGTGAATGAGACACGAGGACGACTTTTACGAGGGCTTCCTCCTCCTCCTCCGACCATCTCGATTTAACGAGCTTTCGCCATTCCTCCCCAGGGAGGGATTTTTCTCTCTCTCTCTCTCTCTCTTCCCGAACGATATCACGCTAACCGAATTTCACGGGTAAAATCAAGACCGATTGTTACTCACCACCTGGGATCCCTTTCCTCCGATCGAGGAAGCAGAATCATTAGATTCGCTCGGCTGGTTGAAAAAGGACGGAGAGCCTTGGAGGAGAAGCCATGACCCTTTTGCACATTAGTTGCTCGATATCGAGGACGGGTGATGGCGATGGGGCAATTGGAATATCGAGGAACGTTTCTGAGATTGGCAGCCGGCCAGGTATGGATTGCTAACTGTCCAACTACGATGATAGAATCCGCACCAGGAGAATTCCGTGGATCCATCTATCGTCGATCCAGGCTGCATTCATTGGTCGTGCCTGGAATATCGTATCGATACCGTGGCCCGACCTGGGAAATGGTTTAGTGCGCCAAGGTGCGAGAGTAGGGACACGCAACGAATATAGGGACTCCTTCTTCTCGGATTTATTTTCGTAGAAAATTTCCTCCTCCCTATTCCGGAGGAATAGTGGAATTTGATCTTTCTTCGTTAAGCATATTCCGTGCCGCGTGGGTTGCGTCCAACTTTCTATTCGAGCGGTTTGAAATTTTCGCTGTGAAAAAAGAAAGGAAAAAATTTCGAAGGAATTTATTAAAATTAAACTCTAGGTCTATTTCTAGATATTTTTCATAATATTGTAAATGTATGATGGACGTACGTTATACTTTAGAAGAAAATCATACGATGCGTGAAATGGAAAGTTACCAAAAATCGTGGCCCAACGTGGAAAGTGACAGTGTTCCGAGACAGAAGACATCTCTTGAAAGGTAGTGGTAGCCGATCGATATTTCCTGTTCGGAGAAAAACGAACGGCCGGGCCGGAACGTATCTCTTATGAATTAAACATAGGTTCCAAGCGAGGGTGCAACCAAGATTCGTAAATTCATTTGGGTTTCAACCGGCACGCGCGTATACGCTTGTGAAAGAAAAAAAAAAAAAAGACCGAGCACTCTCTGTCGCGTCCACTTGACTTTGAGCCCACAGTGACTGGAGAGAATATAAATTTTTAATCGGTCGACTTTCCGGTTGGCGTTCGAGAACCGATGCTACGAAAAAATAAAACGAGATCAGAATCGAAAATTCGACGTTTTTCGCTTGAATAGATTCGATCGTAAGCGAGATTTCAAAATAACAATTACTCGAAATTCATACTGTAATTTATTCATCCCGATTTATCTCTTTACGTGTAAACAAAAAAATCGATAACAGTGTAGTTATTGTAAAAAAAAATTTTTTAAAAGCGAATTAGAGCGCAAAACCGTTGAATCACGGAGAAAGTATTTCTCGCTTAGGTAAACTGGGCAACGATCGAAGCTAATTGACTCACTTTTCCGAAGGATTCGATTTCCACGCGATCTCGGCGTGTTTCTTCTTTTATCTCGATAGAACTCTGGAGCGGCGTCGTGGCGCAACAGGTGCATAATGCCGGGTTTCCAAACGATTATAATGCATTCGAACACTGATTCGAACAAGTCTTATCGGTCGCTTGCGCGGAAACGCGCACTTACGCGATACGAAAACTCATGTTTCTGCGCAACATCCTCGATTTATCCTTTTGCTTTTATTGTGCTCACAGGATGTGGAACACGCGGACGTGCTAGTGGTAGGTTTCGAGCTTGATGGAGTGAAACGTACCTTGGACTTGAGATTAAATTCTGATCTAATTCCTGTTGGCTATCAACAACGTCATCAGCATCAAGGCACGTACAAAGTGTACACTCCGTCGAAAGTCGTAAGTAATAATCTTTTTTTTAATTTATTGAGACGTGATCTTGATAAGTGTATACACCAGAATCATTCAAAAATATCGTTTGCAAATAATATTTGTTGAAAAATACATTGTTGTTCGCAAAAGTGCCGACAAACATAGTTTATAAACACGAACGAACTATTCGTGAACAAGTACGAACCTAACCTATATATTCAGCAGCGAATAATTCACGAACATTATTCGCAAACGATATTCAATTTCTCTGATCACAGAGTTAGTAAATATTCACACAACTAGCGAACTATTGTGAAACGAACATATCGCAAATTGCAAAATCATTCGATACCATCGACGAACATCGTTTGCAAAACACTCTCAGTATGGATCTAGCCTAACGCAAACAATTAGACGTGAAATCGAATCAAAGGGCTCAAAGAATAAATTAAGAACAGTGTATGTGCATTCCATTTTCGGACGATGTCGAAATCGAAACGAAATCGTACTATACACTGCTATACAGGTGCAAAGAATACTAGAATCGATAACGATGACTCACTGTCCGACCGTGCAGGACGCTAGTATAAACGGACATGAACGTTTCGAGAGTATCGATCACTCGCAAATAAAACATAGAGAGTATCGCGTAGGTACATAACCACACTCGAATATTGATCACGCTTTACTCTTGCTTTAATCACTTTTCACGACGATACGCTGTTTTTACGAAAATTGTTAAAAAATGATTTTAAATCAACTTCGAGTCATAAACACTGTTAATTTTTGTATCAATTTTTTACGTTTTCCGTGGATAAATTTTCTCGAGTGCTACGTAAAAGTTTTACGAGTTCCGTTAAATTTCTACTCACCTCGTGAATTACACGAGAAAAGTAACGAGACTTCCATGCGATATACGACGAGAGGAAAGAAATAACGACTATCGACGTTTTTCGATCTTCACTTAGCATCGATATATAAGTTTCAAGTACGTATTATTTACGATTAATGGACATCGGTCGGACACGTTTCGTCACCGAGTTCGTTGCGCCCTGTTTTTCACATTTTGCGTAATTGAATAAATGAATTGATACATCCACTCGTCTCTCTCCCTTCCTCTTTCCAGTTTATTCGCCCTCGTTGTCGCGGCCAAACGGACGAGCTAATTTCGGCCGTTTAAATGAGCGAAATTCTGCGAATCAAACTGGTTAGAACGCTCTTCAGAAATTTCATTCTCGTAACGACAATAATTATAGCTCCTTTGTTCTTGTCTCGCCTCTCGATAGAAGTGCTTACGGTTAAATTACATTTTCCCGTTTAAAATCACGCTTTCCCGAAACGAAAATTCGTCTCGAATTCAGAAAGAGGAAATCTCGAAATGATTGTCCCGCATTCAGCTATAATCGAGCGGCCATAAATCTCTTTCCGCGGAATCGATGGCGGAATGTTGGCGATGACGTTCAAGCTTCGAACACGCGGAGGATTCTTGTTCGTGGAAGAAAATGCAAAGAGAAAAGAAAAAGTAAAAAATGGTCGGTCCAATGGGAATCTGGGCCAACTATATTTATACCGGTCGAATGCACGGGTGAACATTGCACGTCCGAGAATCCTTGGATATTCATCCGAACCAACGAGTGAGAATCCTTCTTAGACTCCAACTTTTTTCCGCCATTATTTTCCGCACCGCTAAAATGTTACGCTCGCGACTCTCTCTCTCTCTCTCTCTCTCTCTCTCTCTCTCTCTCTCTCTCTCTCTCTCTCTCTCTCTTTCTTTTTCTTTCTTTTTTATTTCAATCCTTTTCCGCACTGTTTCTCGGAACGGAATTTGGCTGGAGACCGTAATACATTCTCATTTGCATCGAGGATCTTTTTTATCGCGTCGGTCCGGTGATTGAAAACGGTGGCCGAAAGTTTCGAGTTGACTCTTGGTGCCAATTTAAGAACTCGACCGACGAGTCCGCGATTCCAGATGGGCGAAACTAACCGAATCAATGTCCCATTGAAATTCACAGGAACTCTGCCATTATCAAGGTAGCGTTCGCGACCTTCCCGGCTCCTGGGTAGCCCTATCTACTTGCAGAGGACTGCGCGGCGTTGTCTTCGACGGCGAGAACCTTCATCACATCCAACCGGAGCAAGAATCTTTGGACTCGCGTCATTACGTTTACAAGCACAGCGATCTCGTCGCCAATCACACTTGCGGTAATTATTTTTTTTATTTTTTCTTTTTTTTTTCTTCAATTTCAATTTCTCGAAATCTTGTACGAACAGAATTAAGAAAGAACATTTCGTATTCTTTCTTATCGTTCCTATCCTATCCTAATCCATCCTTTCCCAGTTGTTATCGTTCCTGAGGATACGATAGGAAGTCTCACGGATGACGAGACCGGTTCGATTCCAGAGCTGTGTGTTATCCTCGTGCAGGGCACGCGCTCCTTTCCCGGTCTCGAAGACCTGTCTCGCGGAGACTGGTCTCTCCTTAACGGCCTTAACGAATGTGGGAGCGAGATTCTCCCTCCTCCGTTTGCCCTTAACTTTACCGAGAATCCAATCGACGACGATGATCTTGGTTTTTTGTTCGGTACAGGTTACGAAGGAACGCCGCACCATGTTCTCGACCGTGAACAACGCGGGATCGTCAACAGAATCGCAAGGGTAAGATGCTATATATATATATATATATATATATATATAAAGGTTTTAAGTTTATTTAGAGATTCGAAAGATTCGTTGGAGATTCGAAATCGAGGTTTTTGTACTTTCAGCACAAGAGAGCGGCCGAGGCGATTCGAGGACCCTACAACGCGAACAGGCATTCACGATACGTAGAATTGGTCCTCGTGATCGATAAGAAGGAATACATCGCTCTCGACGAGAATTTGGACAAGGTTCATCAACACTGCAAAGATATCGCTAACATTATCAATGCAGTTAGTACAATTTTCATCATAGACGAATCTTCGTATCGAGATTTCGTATTAGATTGTCCCAAAAATTATACACGATACACTAACCGATTTAGTTGAATTTAGATGAAATAGAATAATTCTTCAGACACGAAGAAGTAAAATGGCGAAAGTTTCAGAGATCATCAAAAATCATATCACACGTTTTTTGGGATAATCTAATAATCTATAGATCGTAAATAAATAAATGATACATATCGCGTTCCAGTTGTACATGCCACTGAATATATTCATCGCGCTGGTCGGAGTGCAAGTTTGGTCGGACGCGGATGAAATAGCCCTGTCCCCGAACGGGGACACCACCCTCTCGAATTTCCTTCGATACAGGAGGGAGAAACTAGTTCAAGACATGCCGAACGATAACGCCCAGCTGTTGACGTAAGTCGACGAGAAACGAAAATATCGGTGGAGAGAAACGACTCGAGATATTTCGTATTTTCAGGCGAATCACTTTCGAAGGTGGCGTGGTAGGGAAGGCGCTCAAGGGACCAATATGCACCTACGAGTTCTCGGGTGGCGTCTCGATGGATCACTCGAACGTCGTTGGATTAGTGGCTGCAACTGTCGCCCACGAAATGGGTCACAATTTCGGGATGGAACACGACTCGGCCGATTGCGACTGCCCCGAGGAGAAGTGAGTAATAATACCAATAGTGATGGTATAATTCCCTTTATTTTCCATTTATCCAATTCTTCGAACCCCATTCCTCGCCGTTATCCCACGATCCAGCGACGATGATCGAAACGAGGCCATCGATCCTCACTCGCAGGCCACTATGATCGCCACTTTCGCCGTTAAGAGGGTCTAAACACGCTCGATCGCGTCTGATTGCAGATGCATCATGGCGTCGTCGAGCGGCTCGTCGGGGCCGACCCACTGGTCGACCTGCTCCCTCGAGCATCTGGCGCTCGCGTTCGAGCACGGGATGGATTACTGTTTGAGGAACAAGCCGCAGAAACTGTTCGACAGCCCGATCTGCGGCAACGGGTTCGTGGAACCCGGGGAGCAGTGCGACTGCGGCCTGAAGGAGAACTGCGACAACCCGTGCTGCAACGTGACCACTTGCATGTTGCACAGCAACGCGAGCTGCGCGACGGGCGAGTGCTGCGATCTGAAAACGTGCCGGCCGAAAACCGCGGGCACCGAGTGCAGAAGCGCCGAGCACGAGTGCGACTTGCCCGAGTATTGCACCGGGCAGAGCGAGTATTGCCCGGTGGACGTGTTCAAAATGGACGGTGAGTCGTGCAGCATGGGGAAAGCGTTTTGCTATCAGGGCTCGTGCAGGACCCACAACGATCAGTGCAAACTGCTCTGGGGTCCCACGGGGACCTCGTCCGACGCGCAGTGCTACGAGATGAACACGAAAGGGACGAAGCACGGGAATTGCGGCTACAACCGGATCGAATCCAGCTACGTCAAGTGTACCGGAGAGTAAGACAGAGATGATTCTTCTTTCATTTCCCCGGCCGGGTTGCATGGATACGTGTACTGTAATAAAGGAGGAACGTCTCTTTCCTGGGTTTTAGAAATCTTTTGTGCGGAATGCTTCACTGTAAGCACTTGAACGAAAGATTGGAGTTCGGTATGGAATCCGTAGCGATTCTCAGCCACTCGTTCATCAACAACGGGGGAAAGATCATACCGTGCCGCTCGGCCATCGTTGATCTTGGGTTGAATCAAGTCGATCCTGGCCTCGCGCCCGATGGTGCCAAGTGTGCACCCGGAAAGGTAACACAACTCGAAGATTCTTCGAGAAGCGAAGAGAAAGACCTTTTTTTTTTTTTTTTCTTTTTCTTTCTTTTCCTTTCCTTTTTCAAAACGTAACGTTGAATTTTCGTGTGGATTTAGATGTGCGTAAATCAGAAGTGTATGCCTGTGGCCGACCTGCGCGCTTCCGTATCCGGAGGGAAAGCTTGTCCCAATAATTGCGGAGGCAACGGAGTGTGCAATAGCCTCGGCCATTGTCATTGCAATCGTGGTTTCCGGCCACCTGATTGCACTCAGCCTGGCGTGGGTGGATCCGAGGACAGTGGCCCCGCAGAGGATCCGAACGGTGAATTTAATTTTATTCGATTTACTTGATCGTCCAACAGGATATTATTATTATTATTATTATTATTAATATTAATCTTTTATGCTATCGAAACTAATTTGCCATGCTCGCTATATTTGTTGCAGCGAGAAACGATTTCATAATGGCCCTGTACATTATCTTTCTGGGGATCGTGCCTACGATCGCTCTTTCCTCGTTCGGGATTTGGTACGTGAGAAATTCCGGCCAGAACTGGAAGAAGAGCATGATATCAACGTACGTATCTAGCTCCGACCGTGTTACAGAGAAATGCAAGCCGCATGCCTTTACGTCACAGCGCGGTGCTCGCAGGGCGAATCACACGAGTCACACGATCGGTAAAAACTTTTACGAGAGGTTCGTCATATTCTTTTCCCCCAGGCGAGAGAATTCGCGTAACGCGAATAAAATATTCACGGTCGGTGACAATATCGGGCCGAAACAGAAACTTCAAATAACGAAAACCGATCTTATCTCGACCACTAACCCGGACGTTATTAACTGTAGCAACAGCATCGAATATAGGAAATCGATGTTGCTCGGAAATATGAACGAGAACACGAGCGGGAAGAGGTGTGTTGTCGCCCCCGAGCCCGATCATCCATCATCCATCGCTCGATCTCAAACGGTAGAGTCGCAAGCGTCGAGGAGAAATTCTCATAGGTCGGAATTAGGTTTGAAGATAGCGGAACGTATACAACAGATGCAGAAAAAGCCCACCAAGAATATCAAGGGATTGACGGTTAAAACGGAAGTAAAGTTCGAGCATTTGAACGAAAGTCCAAGTGGTAGTAGTAGCGTTGGCACCGCGCCGAGAACAGGTGACCCTCTGTTGCCCCCCGATGGGAAGCCGTACTCGAATACGCCAGCTCCTTTTTACAACAAAAAACCACCACCTCCGCCGGCTCCAGCTCAACATTTAAAGCCAAAGATTTGATTTTATCTTATTTTTATTTCTTTTCTCTCTCTCTCTCTCTCTCTCTCTCTCTCTCGTCTCGTTCACACTGAAAACTTTCTTTCAAATTCTTGCTCAATTGCTCTCTTATACCCTTCTCCCTGTCCGTTTTCCCTTTCCAATCGAACTTCACTCTCGACTTAGAGCATTCCTTTTTAGTGCGAAGGTCGCAGCAGAGCAGTTTCTCACGGGAGCTATGACCTTTGCATTATAACCTATACAGTAGGGTTGGCAATAAACGGTGGCGGTTTGATCCTCCGATTTAATCCTATAGCGTTGTCGAGGCAACCTTGAAGTAGGTACGCTGTGATTTTGTAATAGTCGAAATATATAACGAATATGTATCTTGGCCGATTTAGGGCAAGATAATGGAGGCGAAGATAATAGAGGTGATGTATTTGACAATTTGCCCTTGTGTAAGAAGGAATCTACGAGCACCGCGCAAGAAAAAAATCCTGTAGATAGTGCACGTTTATTGAACGATATATTTTTACGAATTTATATAAACGGAACGGAAAAGAAATTTTAATTCTTTTTTTTTTTTTTTCTTTTTTTTTTTTATACGATGTAACGTAAATATCGAAGCGACATATTTCGCGACATAAGTGATATATTTATTCATTTATTACTATTATTATTACTATTTCTATATGCTCAAAAAATAATAAATAAATATATATATATATATATATATATGACGTAATATAATTTTAGACTGTTATATGTAAATGATTTTAAAGAATGCAGATTACGTCATGTGATAGTATTACCAAAAAATGGGTGATAATGAGAACGAAAATGGCTGTCCAATAACGCGGAGAGATAAGAACTCGTTGTCTCGCCGCATAATTTGCGTTCGATGATATATTTAACAAGCGGATCGGACGAAATGCGGAACGAAGGCACGTTTAGGAAGAAAGTTGAGAACCGTAACACAGAGCATGCATAGAAAATTAATGTGACACGAGCATGAGCATGTGTGAGTTTCTTTTGAGATGGCTTCTGCATTTTAAAATTACTCAACGTCTCGCACTTACAATGGAGTCGACATTAAGTCAGTATTAACGATCGCTCGATAATCTTGAATAATCATTCTCGATATATTAAAGATACATATAACAGAAATCGACAATCGTTCAATTATTTTTTTTTAAGCGAGCAAATTCGTTCGAATTTTACTCGGATGTACATATATATGTATATATATATATATGTATACATATGTATACATATGTATATGTATATATATGATTCGAGATAATACTCCATATCGAAATTGCTCAATTACATTGAACAAATCAATATGTATAAGTTTATTTGAATAAACGTACAGTGTTTGATACAAAGTCTAAATAGTTTTCTTGTGTAATCGATAAACTTCCTTCATCCATAGAGAGCTGCTTGCCACTAACATTTTTAATCTTCGACTAACGTTCCCAAATGCATCGTTTCTCGCGCTCGCATGCACTCGAAATATCTCCCCCCATTTATATGCGACGACGAATGAGTGGATTGTTTTTCTTTTTTTTTTCCTCTCATTGCTCGGTTTTGAGTTCCTTTTTTCTTCCTTTATTAAAAACAAAAAAGAAAAAAAAAAAAACCTGCATGAAATTTTCTTAATGAAATTTCGGAATCGAGGATGAATAATATTTTCGAATTATTGCTCGATCCTCGATTACATAGCTTACACAGATCGATACATAGCTTTTGCGCGCTTTCAACACCTCGATTCCCCCCGGCTTACGATTGTGCTTAAAATTTCAGGACCGATCGTGGCCACAACGGACTGTCCATCAAAACGATCGATCGTTCCAGTCCCTTGCCTCGTAACATCGAAACGATCGATTCTAGTCTGAGTCAGGATCCAGCGTGCGCGAGTTTGTTGCCGAAACCGGATACCGACGAGCGTTACAACAATAATTTGTTCGGCCAGTTCAAAGGTTTCACGATCACCCCGATTAGGAATCAAGCGAAGAGCCTCGAGCCGACCAAGCCTGCACCTCCCCCGCCCACCATCCCGACCGTAGCCATTAAGACAAACATCAAGACGATCCCGAAGAGCAATCCGTCGCGCGCCTCGTCGCTCAGTTCCAACACGACGACGTGCTTCAGCGAGGCGGCGCCCACCCTGCCGCCCTTGAATCCAGGATGCACGGCTCGGCCGTTGATCAGCAGCCCCGTACTTGCCGCGACCACGTGCACCTCCGTCGAGCTGGTAGCTGGTCCCAAACTCTCCGCGAAACCTGTCGGTGCTGTGGACGGGCCGACCAGGCCCGCTCCGGCCCCGCCGATCCCCCCGGCCCCCGACTCCGTTCAAAAGCCGCAGAGGCCGAGCAGCACGCCTCTGGCGAACGTGTTGGCCTCGGAGAGCGAGAAGAGGCAAGAGAAGGGGAGCACCCTGAACAGAATCGCGTCGATGCTTCGGCCGAATTCGGGGATCGTGAGAGGCGGGGTTGGGCTGCAGATTGGGTCGCAGAGGGACGAGAAGAGCGCGACCAACTCTTTGCCGAGATTGCACCACCACAAGGCGAGCAAAGTGATCGACAAGGAGATATTGAGAAACTTGGAGATCTCGAATCCTATACCGCAAAAGGAGATCGAGATCCCCACACCCTCGATCCCGGTGATCCCCGTGGCCGAGGAGCAGAAGAAGAGCGTGGTGTTGCGCGCTCAATCGATGAGGGACAGCAAGATCACGCCGAGGCCCCCCATCCAGACGTTCGGGTCGATGCGACAAACGGGCGCGACAAACGTCAAACGACCTACCAGTATACCGGCGAGCACCAGGCCTACGGCGCCTCCCCCCGGCCCCCCCCTCCTCCCCTCCGCTACGACCACGGACAGGGTGAACGAGGCGGGGAAAATTCCTGGACTGCCCGGATATCAGAATCCTCGGGTGAAAAGCCCGCAGAAAATCGGGTTGGACAACGCCTACGACGATTGCATGAATCTCGTCACCGAATCCTCGTTGACCAAGATAGCCGAGGAATCGCCGACAACGAGCGACAATATTTACGCCGTGATAGAGGAGGCCCTACCCGAGAAAGGGAGGAGGAACGGCGTGGAAACGGCGGGGAACGAGTACAAATTGCCGAAGCGCGTGGAAACAATGGGGGGGAAGAATTCGAGTCACGGTGGTGTGGAGCCGATGGGTTTGCTGTCCGAGATCGTGTCCGAGATATCGAATAGGAATTTCGACTCGATATACTCGACCGCGAGCTTGTCGAGGAAAGTGGAAGAGGACGAGGAGGAGGGGGAGGAGGAGGAGGAGGAGGGCGGGTCGAAGAGCGGGGAGGACGCGGGTTACAACAACGGGTCGTTCGGCGGTTACATGAACTCGAGCCATTACAAATCGCCTGGTTCGAGCATTTACTCCAACTCCGCCTCGGCCAAGTTCAACTCGTCGAGCTCGACCACGAGCTCCGGTTACCTGAACCCGTCCGCGTTGAACGTGCCGCGGCAAGAGGGCGAGAAGCTGGCCGAGGGCAAGCCGCTCGACAAGTGTAAAAGCTCGGCCAACCCGAACCTGAACGACGAGATATCGAAGGAGCTTGGAATGAAGGGTGGCGAGGATGGTGTGGCGGCGGCCCGCAAATCGATCGCGTCGGCGAAGGCTCGATTCAACTCGCGGCGGGGTTCAATCGGGGCGAGGGGCGAGGAGGGGACGGCGGAGGGGAAGGAGGCGTCGGTGAAACCGGCCCTCGGAAGGACGAAAACGCCACCGGGCCTCGGCAAAGGCTCGGTCGCGAACGCGAAGCAAGTCGTGGAGAATGCGTCGAGGTCTAAACAGTATTCTGACAGTGGCTCGAAGGGGGTTTCTGGGGCGTCGAACGTGGCCGCGGTGGACGTAAATTCGGAGGCGAAGGGTGGCGAGCGCGCGGCCCAGCCGAACGACAGCCAGGACTCTCGTACGAACGTTAATAGATTATCTCTGAAAACTGTGCCTTGTAGTCCTAAGGATAACGGGGGAAAGTTTAACAGTCCGGACTTAGTCTCGAGCTGTTCGAATTCTAATCAAATCAGTACAAAGTCGCCGGACGTAGTTGGAAACAATCCAAAGGTTAATTTTCAGCCGAAGAACGTTCAAAAGACGCCCACGCTCTCGCGGGGCAGCGCCGCGAAAGCGCCCGCCACCCCCGTCAAACCGTTGAGCATTGCGTCCAAAGGAGGTGGCCTCGCGGAGAAGAAGAAGTCTCCGACCGGGGGTAACGCGATTAAATCGTTATCGGTGTCCGCGAAGGAATCGGGTTCGAGGGTCTCGCAGGCGAAACCGGGGGGGCAAAAGACGGAGGCGAAGGGCGGAGATTCGGGGGCGAAAACGAACCCGGGGGTGCAAAGGGCAGCGAGCAGCAAGTCGAACGTGGCCTCCCTCCAACAAAAATTCGAGGCGAATAAAAACGTAAACGCGGTCGCGTCACGGACGATACCGAGCGTGCACAAAGCACAGCGCACAGTCGGTAAAACGACTGAAACGGCGAGTGTGAAGAAATAGAGCGGGTGGATGTAGGGGGGAGAAGAAGATGAACGAAAACTGGAAAGTGTTGTAGGATCTATTTCAAATATTCTAGTCGAATCGATCGAATATTCGGATTGAAACGCGTAAACGCGAGATGTGTAACCGTTCAAATATATTTCCGTTCAAACGGATATTTCTACGATGTTATTTTATTTAAAAAAAAAAAAAAAATAAAAAAAAGAGAAAAAAAGACCACGTAAGGAAGTGGAGTCATAATAGTACAATGATCAATCGTTGGGTCGGGAAGCCGAGCGAAAGAACCGATTGATCGGAAATTACGCAACTGTCAGAATACTGAGAGATTAGGTTGTATCGGGCGCAAAACCTGCGACGCAATATATTATCGTTGTAAATATATCGTAGTTACTTAAAAATTCTAATATTTTTTGTAGAAATTATCCGTCAACGTTCGGATGTAACACGCGAAACATTAACGATCGTCGGGATATTTATCTTAAGAGCATTTTGTAAACGAAATAAGAAACAGAAATAAGCAACAATTATTTTCAAAAGTTTCACTCGATACCGCAAAAGGAACGCGTAAGAAATTATTGAATTCTGTGATAATACATGTAACGAGAGAATAATACAGAAACATCGTATCGTACATTATTATAAGTAGCAGATTATAGATGCGACCAAATCTATCATTTTATATATCGTATCGCGCGAAAAAAAAAAAAAAAAAAAAAACATTATGAAACTGGAGAATATAAATTAAATTTTCAAGAGAAGAGAAATTAGTTTCGAAAGGAATCCATATCCGAAGAAAAAGAAAATCTCTATGAAACAGTAGCTCTTTCCAAAGATTAACTAAGCATCGTCGTTTAAAACATCGTGATTTTCGTGAATGCGATCGTACCTTTGAGATTCCTCTGCGAATCAAAATTTAGACGCGATTAGCTAACGATAAGAGAGCTTAAATGGTAGTGTATGCTAGAGTTTTATGCTATGTTTGAAATCGAGGCAAAATTATTTCTACGATAAACGTATGTTATAACGTATAACGAAGTAGAAATATTTTTGTTTAAAACGCTATACGATCGTCCTTTTATTTTCGCACGATTCTTTGCATACAGTAAAATACGAATTTCGAACCTTGGTGTTCGTTTGCTAGTTTTGCTAATATTTAACATCGTTAGATACGCAAAGAGACTAAGACGAATATTTATTTGACTGATCGATGTAAATATGTTTATAATGTAATAGATGTAAGTAACATTTTGTACAATGTACCTTCGTGCTCGCTAAGTTATAATTCGCGATCTACGCGTTTAAACGCATACATGCGACTTCAGCATTTAGCTTTTTCACGATATCTCGTTCGATCTGTTGTAAAGGGTGTAGTAAAATTCACCTCAATTAAAGGAGAAAAAAGAAAAGACGAAAAAAATGGGTTTTATTGAACGATACAGTTGTAACATATTTTTGCATTTATTATTTCAACATAGCCATCTTTCGCGTATAAGTATTGTTCGCTTGTACGCCGCGATGTTTTAATTTATACAGTTCCTATGTACAGTCCTCTCGATATGTTGAAACAATTTAGGGACCGCAACTCAAGTTCAATAAAGCTTTATAATAATCATCCATTCTTCGAGCATCGTTTATAATCATTCACCGCTTTTCTTCTTTCGACAAAATGATGTCGTATGTATGACTCTAGTGTAAAGACAATCAGACGTTTTGCACAGCATACGACTGTAAAACGGAAAATGAAAGCCCTTCGAGAAAACCTTGGCCGTTCCATAATCGTTTAGTAAGATTTTTTTTTTTTTTTTAGGAAATACGATTCATTTTTAGATTTCATCGATTAGATTATAATTAGATTTATTAAATGAAATTATTTTTCAAAACTCACGACTTACAGCCTAACAGAATTAACAGACATGTTACATTGTCCGTTCAATACCAAAGATAAGTTACGTTCCACGTGTTAAAGGGCCAAGATATACGTTATCGTAACTACTTAAACGTTGTCTCATAACTTGTATATTTCCTAATGCATAGTAAAGTTACAATAAATTCTTTATTCCATGCATCCGTTTTATCCTTCATTAATGACGGATCAATGAAGAGGTAAGTAAATGATTAAATTATAATAATTAAATTTCATAATTTGTACATTCTTAAAAGTAATAGAAGATAGAAAGTAAAATTTTCAATAAAAAAAATGTATATCATTTATTTGATTCAAAAAAAAAAAAAAAGGATCAAACGATACAATTTATTATATCGTTTATTATTTATCTTTAATACTGAGCATAAAGTAATGTTTTCTGTTATGAATAAAAAAAAAGAGAATTTAAATCTTTGAATTAATTATGAATAAAAAATAAGGATATTAATAATTATATTTTGTAATAAATTTTTTTGTTTTTATTAAACAAATTACAAAGAAGACAATTTACAGAGAAAAAACAAGTAAATAATTTAAATTGTCAAAAATTTAAACTATAAAATATTTTGAGTGGAAGACGTTTTCTCCTCGTGTCATTTCCCTCCAATAGGATTTCATTGAGCAGACCGTAGCCTATAAAGAACGAATTTACTAATACGTTTATAATATTGTAAACATTATTGTGAAACAATTACGAATATACCATTTACTTTTATGTTATGCACATTCATGCAAAAATTTAATTTTAGAAAGTAAGATTTATATTTTATTAAAAGAAATTACATTTTCCTATATTTAACGTATCATAATGAAATATTCGATTTTCATGATCATAAATTTACAAGTCACATAAGTGTTGAATTACACGTTTATTGATCGCTGTCAGTGACAATAATGTAAGAAACTTGTGAATGCTTCGTTGCCAAATGTTACTGAACTACCCCACAAACACTATGTATTTTCCTATATTAGAGTACGCTGTTGTGATTTGTCAAAGAAGCGATAACCTAACAGCTATATTGAATATTAGAAAAAATTTCGCATAAAATTTCTCACATGAAATTGTAAGAACTGTTGGTATTCGATAATTTATTTAAAGTTTTTCGTTTTTATTATAAAATAAAGTTTACGCAAATTTCGCGTAATGTTATAATTCAAATTTTTGTAGAATCGTTACACGACAAAAAATTAATCGTGCTTATTAGAATTTTATATTTTTATATGGTGAAAATGGCCCATGCTCCATTACCGAAACCTATTTGTAAACCGATAAATACGTCTAAGATGTGTCCATCTGATTTCACTACTACTTTATCTGATGTAAGTTTGACATTTACGATATTTATACATTTTATTACCTTATTGCATTTTATTTTATTATAGGTGTTACAATCGGACCCAGTAAAAAGGTTGTTTAATCAACCAAATATTATTATTAAAACAATACCTTTAAAAATAAATACGAATTCTGGGTCAAACAATAATGGTTTCATGAATAAAATACATAATACAGATACAAATATAAATAAACCAAAGCAATCAGAATTATCTGTAATTCCTCTACAGACGAATCAAGAAGAAAATATAGAAGATAAAAATTTATTGCCTGCTAAGAAACAAGGTAAATCAGAAATCACATTAGTTCCTGTTAAAAGGGAAAAGAAACCTTGTGGTCATTATGAACCTTGTGAAAATATTATATGTGATGTGGCAGTACAACAATATGTAGATCGTGAAGGATCTTCACCCATGTTAGCTATTAATATAGAGGAAAGTGAAATAAATGCACCTGTTTCAAAACATTGTGCAAGTAAAATGTGTGATGCACTAAGCATCGATCATGACCGTTGTCGCAGAGCTGTGATAAGATTGAATAGGTGTAATCAGTCAACAGCTTGTGATATTTGTGGTATTACGCTAAAAACACAAAGATCTCGTATATATCATAAAAATTGTACAAGAAGAAATGAATATAGACATAATGAAACAAGTAGTGCTAAAATATTAAAAGAAAGAATGAGACAACGAGAAATTCAATTAATAGAAGCTTCTAAAATGAAAAAAAATGATTATACAGATCCAGTTATGGGATATAGTCTTGCAATGGAAACATTGAGAAACAACAAAGAATTGATTATTATTCCAAAATCAGTTCCCATAAAACAGCAACAACAACAACAACCACAACCACCATCAACACCAACAATTACTATAAATACTACAACACAAATCAATAATGTAAATAACGTTTTTGGAAAATTTTTACCTAGTATGCCAATTGTATTACCACAACAAAGTATAGTTCTTGGCAAAGCAGAATCTTCTAATGAAAATAATATAACTACTCCCATACAAATAGCTTTACCAGATACTTTAACTACATCGCTTATAACAACAACTAGTACAGTTCCTTTATCTCAAAATCATTATGTTACTTTTACAACACAAACTAATCCACATTCAATACCAATAAGTGATATAATCTTGCCACAGTCGCAAATTGTGACAACACCCATTCAACCTAAACCACTCTTAACACCTATACGTGTTGTGCCTATAACTAATTTAATAACACAACCATCTTTATTACACCAAACACAGGGTATACCAAAGTTTTGTATTATGCCAGACAATACAATACCATCATTAACTATAACAAATCCACAATCTATTCAATGTCCAGCACCTGTGCCAAAGGTTGAGTCTCCAAATGATGTGAAAACAACTTCTCAGAAAAAAAAAAAAACAATGATGAAAAAAAAACGAAAACTTAGAAAGAAAGATTTTAAATGTGATTATTGTCTTAAAAATTTCAGTACAGATTGGTATTTTAAAATGCATGTTGCTATGCATACAGGTGAAAAACGGTTTATCTGTAAAATATGTACACAATCATTTAATAATCGATATGACATGAAAAGACATATGTCAAATGATCATAACAGTGAAACTATTGCTTCTGATACATGTGCTCAGGAAGTTACTGAAGATTCACGTAAGTATTTTAATTATAATATCATATATTTCTCTATTGATCATTTAAAGCATCACAAACAAAAGTATAAAAATATGAAACAGATATAGTAAAAATTTCTTCTGATGTTATAGAGCCAAAAATGAATCTAGATTCACATCAAGAAGTAAAAAAAGAGGATAAAACAAATGGATATATTAGCATGCCTACTCAAGATATTATGAAAAATATGAAAACAGAATTGTGTCATGAAGTATAAATCATTCCAATTTAAATAATTCATTAAAATTCATTAAAACAAATAATATTTAAAATTGAAAAAATATGTCTGTTATAAATCTTGAAGTTCACTTGTAAAAATATATGTAAAATGTGCTTAAACATTATATTTAATCAAATATTGATTTTTTGGTAGAAAATTTTATATTTAATTACAAAAGTTCGAGTATATTGATATTTTTTCAATTAATACATTACACATATCTTATCCTTTATTTTAATTTCAATAAAATTAAAATAATTATTTTAATTTCAATAAAATTTCAATACAATTAAAATAATTTCAATAAAATTTCAATAAAATTAAAATAATTATTGTAATATTATAAATCCTATGGTATAATATGAATGATAAATCTTTTTACTATATTTACTTTATTTAGGAAATATATAATAAAAATATTTTTATCAACATTATAAAGATATGTATTATAAAACTGAAAAAAGTTTATTTTTTAAATAAGAACTACTACAAGAATTGATAAACATAAAAAATTTAGATATAATTGTATATTATTAAATTCTAAACTGTGATATATGGCCATCTTTCCGCTATAACTTTTTTCACGTAATGTAAAAGTTTGTCGTTTTTAACATAAATTTAAGCACATTAAGAAATTTTTATATACTAAAATGAAATCACAATTATGCACGTGGACGAAAATATGATTACACATATCTTAAAATGCACAAAAAAAGAGAAATCATATGGTTTATATTTTAGAATCAGAAAATTTGTTATTAAATGTAAGAGTATTTTATACGGAAAAGAAGTTAAATGCCATTATTCTGATGTATAAATACATATAAGTTATATTGTGTTCCTTTTATTTTTAATTTAGTAGTTGTTTACTTAAAAGTATTCATTTACATAGGCTAAAATTTATGTATAATAGATATATTTATATACATTTTATTATTGAATCATCTTTTTTCAAAAAAAAATCTATGATATATTCTTCAAAAAATTCATTTTTAGAAATAATATTAAATGCATAAGTATTTTTTTGTTTGATGAATTTAGTATGTAGAATAAGATGATAAAAAGCTAATTTGAGCTTTGAAATTTATTTTAATATATTTCTGAATGTTAATAAAAATGTAGATTAAAAATTTTACAAAAATATAAAGTTCCTTAATCAGGAAAATGAATATCATGTGCCTTCAAAATTTTAATGTTCCTTATATAAATAAATACAGTTAATTCATAAAAATAAATAATGATTATGGATAATATTGATTTAAATAATTTGTTTCATCATTTTAAACTGACAATAAAAAATATTAACAATTTTAGTGGAATCATGATTATGATGAATAATGATTAAAATACTTTTATTTGAAAATAAAATTATAAATGAAAATTATCTGTGCATTTAATATTACTCAGTGCACAAAAAATATAATAAAAAATAGAAGGAAATTTTGGAAATATCATTTGTGTTATGAAAATATATTTGTAATAGAGAATATTGAAAAATTATTATTTTTGAAATAAAAATTACTAAAATGTTATGTTAAATATATCTTGAAAAAATATATCATAAAAAACTATTTGTTGTATTGTATTTACATAAAAGGTTTTAAAAATAAATCATTATTTAATATCAAAATTATTTATTCAAAATAGTTTTCTTTTTAAACAAAAAATATTAATCATGAATATATTTTATGAATGTTGAATAAATATAATGTTAACATTGCATAATGAAATTAATCAATTATTTCTTTAGGAATATAAATTACATCTTTGTTTTATGTTGTATTTTTATTTTGATTCATATCCTATCTAAAGCCTCTAACATTATTACACTATTTCCACGTATTACCTACAATAATAAAATGCATTTATTAAATCAACAGAAATTTAATTCTTCTTATTAAAAAATAAATTTTTATCTTACCACCATTCCAATATTGTTTTTAGTACCATCCTTACATTCTTCAATACTTTCATCTATAACCATGTTCATAAATGGATCAAATCCACGTAAAATTCCAATAACATGTCTTCCTCCATTTAATTTTACTAAAAAAAAAGATAAATTTCATGAATTATATATTAATATATTTGCAGTATTATTATTGCAATATATATTATTTTATATATTAATATAATTTTATAATTAATAATATTTAACATGTATACTCACATGATAATTTTTTATCCATATATCTATAAAAAAAATAAAATTTTAGTATATTTTGTTTTATTTGAAATATATATAAATTAATATTCAACTTTAACATAACCTCTATGAACGAAAAAATTTACTTATAAACTTACTTTTTAAGTTCCGGAGGATGTGCTTTACTCATTTTTAAATTAGTATTTTATGTTTTATTTTTTAATTAAGAACGAATTAATATTTATATCAATTTCACTTGTTTCTTGGCTTTATTCTCTTCTATTCAATGATAAAATTAGTGGTAAATATACCAAACCATAGCCAATATATACAATAGAATATAAAATTAGTATTATAAAGAAAAGTGAGAGAAGGATAAAGATAGTATAAAAATTAAGGAATCAGCGCCATCTTCAAAATGAAACTCAATACACAAGGAGAGCAAATAAAGAAGATAAAATAAAAATTGATAGTACCATCTTTGAAGAATCAAAAATATTTCTTCAAAGATAAGATAAGATAGAGATAATTAAGAATTAAAAATTAGTATCATCTTTAAAATGTTAAAAACATCTTAAAAAACATTCAAGAAATGAAATTGAATCTTAATTCCTTAATTCTCTACTTTATCTGTTATATATTTGATACATATTTCATACTTTTATACATACATACTTTTATATTTGTTTCTGAATATATGACACATAAATAAATAGAATTCTATTATTAAATATGTAAACAAAATGTTAGAAAAAAAATTTGCTTTTGAAAATATAGCTACTTAAAGAGATAAGTTTAAAGTAAGTATAAAATAAGTTTAATATATATTAAATTATTTATATAAATATTATTTAACTTTCAGAAAAATTTTATATACTATTTTTTTATATACTATTTTTTAACATTATATTCTGTTAATATAAAATTTTAAAATTTGAAAACTTTGTCAGTGATAAAAAATGTAGAATTTTGAACATTCTAAAAAAAATTCACATGACATCTGCTTTCTAATTATATTCTTTTCTTACAAAATCATAAATTTAGAAAAAAATTTTGCTGCTTGAATATTCGATTTTGTATTAGGAAAATATAATTGGAAAAGAGATAACATAAAAGATTTTTTTAATATTTTTTACAAGTTTTTGAACAAATTTTATATATTTGTTAAATACTTTTGTATTGTTTATTCATATTTTTTTATAGATCTCATTTGCAATATTGTACATACATTTTTTATACATTTTTTTTAATTTTAAAAATATTTATCTTTACATATTCTCTAACAAGTGTCAATTTTTCTATATTAATTATCCTTCTATAACTTTGTTAGATTTAAAAAATTCATCTAATTTTATTATCTGAAATATTTTGTTAATTTTGATAATATTAAACAATAAAAGTAAATGAATAGGAATTATCTTAAAAAAAAATATATATGTATATATATATCGTAGAACGATCATTTTTATTTTTCTTTCTCTATACTATACATGAAGTAAATGTTACAATATAATATACATTTGACTCAACAAAACAATATAACGAGTATTTAATTTTGTCAATAGATTTTGGTCACTTTTTAAATTAAAATATTCCTATTGCATATGTATGTGCATAACATTTATACACGCGCATCGTAACATTTATGCACATTATACATGCGCATATAATCTCATTGTTTAACATATTACATGTATATTTTTGCAAGGTACTGTCAGTACAAAATATAAGTACATTCATATTTATAAAAGTACAACGTTTATTTGCCGTTGAAGAAATAATGTTCCTCTTAAAACATCTCGTAAAGTATCAGAGCAAGCAAGAATTTCGATAGTATAATTTTCATTTTAATTTCATCATAATTGAATTTTATTAAAAATTTTAAATTTCTATTTATTTTCTAGCTTTTTCATTTTCGTTAATCCTAATTTTTTCTTTTTTTTCTTTTTTTTTTTTTTGTTTTATTCAAACTATTTTATAAACTATGAAAATATAGAAAAGCAGAATTTATTGACGTTTTTCGATGACGAGATAATTAAACAACGATCTTTCTAAAAATCTTCTCGAAAAACTTGCCCGCGCGGAAGATTCTAAAACCAGTCTGATAAAAGCATCAAATTCTTAATCTTATATTGTATATTAATACGTACATCGATTTAAATTATTGCGTTACAAATAAAATGTACAATTCGATGTTTTACGTATTTCTAGGTATTGCATAAAAAAGAATATTGTAATATTGTTAGAAATTATAACATATATTATAACTTATGAAATACCTAGAAATTCTGCAGAATAGATACGTATGAGAAACAATCGCAATGTAGTTTATTATGTTGGTCAAACAGATCAGGTACCACGTCAAATTTCTAATCATCGAATTGTACATTTTATTTTTAATTAGCTTATGGCTAACTCGAGGAATGGCTTACAATTATCATTGACATACACTTTGAAAACAGACATTTCAAAAAAAAAAAAAACATAAGAAAATATGGCTCAAAATGATAGTCGAGTGTATGTCATCGAATAGTACGACTTTTCATTAAGTAAACACGAATACAACTATTGAAGATTAGCAAATTAGATTCTACGTTTATTGACAATAGCTGTTCGTGCTTACTTTTATCACTATTGTTACACGTGCGAAACTGTGTATAAGATGGAACGGATTTAAAAGCAGTCGTAGGTATACGTCTCAATTTTTTCGAGATATAATAATAAAAACTTTCTTACAAAATAACTAATCCTTCGCTTTTCTGCGAAGTAAAAGAAATAACTGAAAACACAAAACAAAAAAGATTAATCTTTTGGCATATTTCATTCGAATAGAAGCACAATTATTCATTTTTCGCTTTATTAAAATAATAGAAAATTTAATGAAATAATTTAATGAGAGACAAACATAATCTATAACAAAGTATGGTGTTACTACATTCTTATATATATTTCCATATAACACCGAAAAATATGAATTCATCAAAGATATAACCAGGGGCAGTGGAAAGATTAAAATTTTTAA